GGGGGAGGAGGGGGAGGAGGGGTGAGAGTTTAACACCCTCACTGACACCGCTGCTTGTGCTGTAAATCCCCTGTTCCACCTCTCACTCTCTCCCCCCCCCCCCCCCCCTCTTCCTCCCTCTCTTCTCTGACTGTCAGCGACGGACGGATTGAAAAACTTGAAAAGTTTTTTTTTTTTTTTTTTTTTTTTTACAACATGTCAACCAGGCTCTCAGATTAGCCCCGGCCTCGTCAGTGCACACCAGCAAAAATAAATAATCCACATCAACTATTTTGCTGTGTAGCCCCCCCCCCGCTTCTCACCCTGACAGATCACCCACCAATCGTCACTGTTATCTCCCCCCTCAGGGTTAAACCGTTAGAATCAATGAGCCTTCAACAGGTACGGTTGGCCGGGAGTGTGTGTGTGTGTGTGTGTGTGTGTGGGTGTGTGTGTGTGTGTGTGTGTGCAGGACTTTGGTTTACAGTCGGCACTGCCACACATGCAGAGTCCACCAGGGGAGGGGCCCCCGGAGGCTAATCAGCTGCGCTAATTGCAGAATTAGCTTACCATTACAGCCCCTAAGCACTAATTCATTGTTTTATCACCAGGTTAGGGGGGGTAAAGGTCGGCCGCTGTTATCAGGACGCTGAGGGGTGTATGTGTGTGTTAGTGTTAGTGTTAGTGTGTGTGTGTGTCACAGAGAACAGAGGTCAGAGTCAGGAAGGACGACGTTGAATGTTTGGATTTGTTAAACAGACAAATATTGTCGTTGGCGACCCCTGCTGTGTGACAGGAGTTGAAAAAAAAAAAAACGTGAAAAGTGGAAAAAGATCCGTGAAAAAAAAAATCAACTTAATAGATAAAGGATGATTTTCTGCCTGTTTCACACATGAAGAATGAGTCGTTTTAGCCAAACACACAAAGCCCTGTGTGTGTCCACACACACACACACACACACACACAGTCAGTCACCACGACGCTGCACCTACAGTAAACCAACAGGAGCTCCATCCGTCTCCACTGTCCTCCGTCTTCACCCCCCCCAAAAAAAGACACCGTCCCTCTGTGTAAACGCTCCGGTACATTCAGCTGTGCAGCGACCTTTATGTTGAGCCACACCAACACAGTAACGTCCAGCTCTCTCTCCTATTGTTTCAACATCCAAGTAAACAACACAAATACTCTGATCGTGTAGAACCAGGTGACTGCAGTACATGATGTACTCACAGAGTACTACAGTACACCACAGGTACTACCACCTCGTTAATAACCCTTTTTTTTTACAACATGTCAACCAGGCTCTCAGATTAGCCCCGGCCTCGTCAGTGCACACCAGCAAAAATAAATAATCCACATCAACTATTTTGCTGTGTAGCCCCCCCCCCGCTTCTCACCCTGACAGATCACCCACCAATCGTCACTGTTATCTCCCCCCTCAGGGTTAAACCGTTAGAATCAATGAGCCTTCAACAGGTACGGTTGGCCGGGAGTGTGTGGGTGTGTGTGTGTGTGTGTGGGTGTGTGTGTGTGTGTGTGGGTGTGTGTGTGTGTGTGTGTGTGCAGGACTTTGGTTTACAGTCGGCACTGCCACACATGCAGAGTCCACCAGGGGAGGGGCCCCCGGAGGCTAATCAGCTGCGCTAATTGCAGAATTAGCTTACCATTACAGCCCCTAAGCACTAATTCATTGTTTTATCACCAGGTTAGGGGGGGTAAAGGTCGGCCGCTGTTATCAGGACGCTGAGGTGACGATGTGTGTGTTAGTGTTAGTGTTAGTGTGTGTGTGTGTCACAGAGAACAGAGGTCAGAGTCAGGAAGGACGACGTTGAATGTTTGGATTTGTTAAACAGACAAATATTGTCGTTGGCGACCCCTGCTGTGTGACAGGAGTTGAAAAAAAAAAAAACGTGAAAAGTGGAAAAAGATCCGTGAAAAAAAAAATCAACTTAATAGATAAAGGATGATTTTCTGCCTGTTTCACACATGAAGAATGAGTCGTTTTAGCCAAACACACAAAGCCCTGTGTGTGTCCACACACACACACACACACACACAGTCAGTCACCACGACGCTGCACCTACAGTAAACCAACAGGAGCTCCATCCGTCTCCACTGTCCTCCGTCTTCACCCCCCCCAAAAAAAGACACCGTCCCTCTGTGTAAACGCTCCGGTACATTCAGCTGTGCAGCGACCTTTATGTTGAGCCACACCAACACAGTAACGTCCAGCTCTCTCTCCTATTGTTTCAACATCCAAGTAAACAACACAAATACTCTGATCGTGTAGAACCAGGTGACTGCAGTACATGATGTACTCACAGAGTACTACAGTACACCACAGGTACTACCACCTCGTTAATAACCCTCTAATCCACAATCTCCTCTGACTTCTTCTTTTTTTTTTTAATCTGCTCTGGGCTTCTCTGCACTCAGGGTCACTTTCAATCTCCAGCCAATCAAACGCTCACAAACACACACAGGCAGACGGCCTCATGGGAACGTCTGCCAAGGGCACGCGGCCAATGGAGGAGGTCCAAGGCCGAGCGGCCAATGACCAGGGCCGCGGGCAGAACCTGCTGATGAATCGCACCGTTGATGTAGGAAATTAAATCATTATTATTGTTGTTTTTATCAGTGAAAATAATAATAATAATTATTATTATTGTTGTTTGTTTGTTTTTTAAGCCGTAAAATATTTGTATAAAATACGTAAAAATGTAAGACAAAGGAAACAGAGAGTAAATACTCTACAGGTTGTGATACTTTCAAGACGATATTACAGTTATATTTACAGTCTGTATATTGGGAAAAATAAATCAGAATATACTTTACTTCGGTGGTTCCCAATGTGAGGGGCGACTACAGGTTGTGATACTTTCAAGACGATGGTTCCCAAAGTGAGGGGCGGGTCACCCCTGGAGGGCGCAGAGTCATAGCAGCAGGTCAGATAAACTTGATTTTTATCTGATTTGTATTTTATTTTATCGCAGTTTTTTAAATGAAGTTTAAAAAAAAGCTGGCGAGTGTTTCAACATAAGGGGCGGGGCTCGACAACAGTCCCGGTTCCCTGAATGCAGCGGTAGAATTTAGAGCACGAAGACAAAGTTTCTAGCCTTACCATGATGGGAGGGCTGTCCAATATGCGGTTAGGGGGCGAACGAGGGGACACTTTGCTGCAGTAGGAGGCCAGAGGTAGGTGGATGACACCGCCTAGTCCCTCGTTCTCTTCATCCGCCACTCGCTGTCTGCTGGTTGCCATGGTTACCTCTCCATCTGTCCCCCCATATGGAGAGGCTGGTCGCTTGGAAGACATCCTGGAAAAAGAAAAGGAGGAGAAGTGAGACAGGGGGAGAGAGACAGAGTGGGGGGGGCGAGGGGGGGGCGGGTGAGCATTATTTAAAGAGCGACATGTGATGTAAGGTGGATCGCTGCTGTCATGTGAGAAATGATACACGGCGTGTGTGTGTGTGTGTGTGTGAACTCCTGCACACAGTGGATACTCGCAGGTACTCACGAGTACTTTTCTGTACTACAACAACCTTCAGCAGGTTTTTACATGACACAGTATCCTCTTCATTCAGACTTGGAGTACCCAGAACTTCAAACCCACTCTCAGGTCTTACACTGTGTGTACCAGGTACACCGTGTGGACAAGAGAGGAACTGCAGGAAAGGTAGCGAGGAGTAGCAGTAGCAGGGTTAGGGTTGTTGTTTACATTCCTGATCGCTGTTTTGTTCCGGTAGAAAAACCACTAAATCTGAACTCTGAGGTAAATTGCCCCCTGGTGGTTCAGTTCAACAACGATACGCAGTGATAATCGACTTAGCGTGGTCCTTAGCAACGGCCTGAATGCTTTCAGACGCACTCGTCAGCCTCGAGGCCACTGTGACTGTGACCCCGGGTAAAAGGCCGCTAACACTGAGCCACAGACGACGGCGACGAGTCGGACAACAGACCGACGGTGGAAAACCAGCAACAGACGTTCGACTCCCAACGCAAACTATTTATTTTAGAAAAATTTTGAGAACGTTTTTACCCCTTAAAAAGTCCTTAAAAAAAGAAGAAATTTAAAGGCAGTCATCCCCAATATTTAATTATTAAATATATAATGTAAAATATATATATATATTTGATATCATCTACTTTAATTTCTATTATTGTTACATTGAGATGGATGTTATTTTTTTTCAAAATAAAATGCGAACGAACACAAATTGAAAATAAATGAATTAATAATCTGCGGTTATGGCCCAATGCTGGTCCCCGAACCAGTGGTTGGGGACGCCATCTCTAAAGGGACGCAATAAATAATATGTTTATGTTGGATCAAAAAAGTTAGTTTAACTGGAGCCAAAGACAAAAGGAGAAAGTTATTTTCAACAAACTTGTTTGTCTGTTGAATAGCACTCACACGTATCTGTGGGAGAGGTGGGGCAGAGGGGGAGGCAGAGGGGGAGTCGCTGTTTCAATGTATTCGTCTTCAGCAGTATAACTTTGTGGAAAAATGGGCGTTTTTTTTTTTTTTTTTTTTCGCAGCACCTTTGACAACAACACCATGGAGATAAGACTTCATATATTACTGTCATTAAATGACACTGATTATACAACAGGAAGTGGACACTCCACTGTGGACAGACTCTAAGGACACGGGCAGAAGACTGAGTCAGCGTGTAGACACACACACACACACAGACACACACACACACCTTGATAAACAGAGCCTGTGGACACTGCAGGTCTCTCATCACCGCTGCTTGTTTACCGCCGCTCCTCCCGCCCAGGGACACTGAGGACCTTTGTCTCCGAGACACACTGGTCTTCTTGTGTCCGGAATGTACACAGCTGTACTTAAACGCCATAAACGCGCTACAACAAACACGGCGCAGGCTTCAAACCCTCTCGCCCTCCGTGAGGCTAAAGTAAAAGTTCTGTTTCAAAAAAAAAAAAACATCGGAAAAACCAGAGGAGGGATCGTCGGTTTGGCCGCGTCAGTCACCGACCGAGGACTGAGTTTGTTTTCTCCACGTGGCAAAACAACCTTCTCTGAAGTCAGGACATTTTATATTTCACTGGTTCTGTTTCATTTATACATATATATATATATATATATGCATATATATTGTACAGACATGTATGGACATATATACTGTATGTTTATATGTAGGTATACATGGTCCATGTATGTGTGTTATATATATGTAGCTGTATAATGTACATACAAATATATATATAAATATATATGTGTTATATATGTTCATATATGTTTATATGTATGTTTATAGGTACAGATGGAGAAGAACACATTCTAGAACACATTTCAACTCTTAGTCCCAGTATAAAATTTATATTTATACATATATGCATATATATATTGTACATACATATATGGACATACATATATATGTTTATATTTATGTATATATGGTCCATGTATCTGTATCTGTATGTAGATATATAATGTTAATACAAATATATACATATAAATACATAAGGCATATGTTTTATATATATGTGCATATATTTCTATATGTACAGACGGACCTGGTTTCTAGAAAACACTCTTAGTCCCAGAGTCTTCTTCAGTTTTATCAGTTCGTCGGACAAACTTATAAAAAGTTCACATCCGACCCTCACAATGAAATAGAGAGTAAAGTAAACGCCATTTGAAATTCCGACCAATCACATGCGAGGAAAAAACAGAACGTACGCAGCTGATGCGTCAGACACAGGGAGTGATGTCGACTCATCGGTTCATCTGAAGACACCAAAACTCTTAACCAGCTCCTCGTTCTTCTTCTTCTCTCTCTGCCACCATGACCCCTGACCTCACCCCCACCCTCCCCCTCACCCTCCCCCCCACCCCCACCCCTCCTCTGCCAACACTTCCTCCTCATCTCTGAATGGGGAGGTCGTTCACAGCTCCTCTCTAGTTGTAAAAAAACTCCAGTCTGTCTTTGAAGTTGAAGTACTACACAACTGAGCTCAGCGGGTATCCAGGTAGTACTGGATACTTCACTTAACGTTTTGTAAGGCAGTACTGGAGACACAAATACTAAGTGATTTGATGAAAAAACTATGGACTAGTGTTAACTTAACAACTAGTACTGACTCATCAACCTAGTACTAACTCATCAACCTAGTACTGACT